GTGTTTGATAGATTAGAAATGTAACAATATGCATCTTGCTGGCGTTGTAATGTATAGTTATTGTTGTAACACCTGGTTCATGCACTTGTTGGAATATTTAATGGAAGGATAATATATTACTTAGGGATATACAATCAAATCAAAACTGTAACATCTGGTATCTTTACCGCCTGTGTTATTGTTAAATTCCATAAGGTTATTATACTACAAATCTAGATCATAAATACTCGTGTCACGTTGTTGTATTTACCTTATTTAGTTAATCAAATAATGCAAACGTGTAACCTTACGTAGATAAAGTTAAACGCAGTACTATGTTTCTACACAAATGGCTGTGAGTGCAAATATAAACAACATAATACAAATATTTCAAGAATAGAGCTAAAACAATGAAAAAACTAAACATTACCATATTACAGTATACACCATAATAATATAATTTTATTAGTTTTCTTTTATTATGTTTCTGAATATGTCTAACGTTACCTATTTTTGAATCACTTTATTTAAAGACATTTTACTCAGAGACACTACACTGTTCAAATGCAAACTAAATATGAATCTTTATTTAGTAGAAATACCCCAAATGAAAAGCTATATCTAAAAACAGCTTGCAAAACCTGCAGTTCTTTTGTCTTCTGCGTTTGCAAGCCCTCCCCTTCTAACTCGCCCAGACTTTATGTGGCTGTCCAATCACAGACTTCCCAATGCAGTTTAATGAGAAGGCTTTGCAAGGCAAGGGGCTCGGGACAATTGCTGCCTCTTCAGTTTATTTTCACTGAGCTAACCAAAACAGGAAGTAACCGGACTGGTTTTCTGACTGACATCCAGGGGGTGTGGGGGGTGGGGGTGTAACAAGGTTACTTTATAAAAGTGCAGATTTCTATTGAAATCTGCACTTTTTGTAAAAAAAAAAAAAAAAAAAGACGCACTCTTCACACAAAGTTTTCAGCAAATTGAAGTGATTTAGGGATCTGGAGTGACCATTTATATAAGTGATATGTACTTCAGTATTAATGTACCAGTGGAAGTGAAAATGACCTATGGGTTAGTTTTAGTGTAATTGAACTTCTTCAAACAGAAGAGAATGATTACTTAATTCTAGCTCACAGATTAACAGCTACACACATTATTTATTTATAAAATATTTTACCAGGAAAGATACATTGAGATTTCTCTCGTTTTCAAGTATGTCCTGGGTCCACAAATCATTGCATTGTTACATTAGGGTACAATAAAATACAAAACCAATATTAATACACAATAAATACAAAATTTAACATAGAACAGGCAGGAAATATATAATCAACCATGACAGGTGCATTCTGTTTTGAGGTATGTAGAGAGGGATCTCTTAAAGGACTTTAGGCTTGGGGAAGATTTTAAATTGTGCGGGAGGTCATTCCCCAATTGCGGCGCTCTGTAGGAGAAGGAGGATCGGGACGCTTTCTTAATCAGACTGCTTGTAGCATTTACCCTTCATAATGCAATTTTAGTAGCTGAGTAACTATGCTTTGTTATATGGTCGATTGGTTGCTTATATGGGTAAAAAATATCCTATATTCAGGAATAATCAACTTTTCCAAAATATTTTTACATTTTTACATTTGACAAATTAACACTTTAATGACATTAGTACATGCTAACTAAACAGGGCACGCCCTCACATTTTGGGTTGAACATGGCTGAATCCCTGCTCACACCAGGGAGTACCAGGCATCAATTAATGCCTCCCCTCTGTCAGTTGGGATTTTTGTGGCCGCAGGTAGATAGATGAACTGTATGCAGTACTTATACTGAGCGTTGCATACAGACCTTTAAATAAGCATTTAAATACCTAATGCAGTGTAGTGTGCACAGGGTTAAATCCCAGACTGACTTGTGAGCTATTTGCTGCTCATACAGCCCATTAAATTCATTCAAAACATCACAACTGAGCAATTGCACTCAGCTGCAGAGATTCCTGGATTGCAGGCTGTTGAAAGGGTCTCCCTGCATATCCCCATGCTGATTGTGATCAGTGCTGGGCTTTCCAGTTGCCCACCACCGTTCACAGTGTAATCAGCTGGTAAAGTATACTATCAGTATTTCAATATTTTTACCGTAATACTGAAAAAAAACCAAAAACCAGTAAATGGTGCAACATACGACTAGCTAGCTACTGTTTCAACAAGAAAACCCATCTGCTGTTATGAGTACTGACATTAGCAGAGAGTTCCTTAGGTTAGGGTTTGGGGTATTATTTTAATTTAAACTTAATGTTGTATTAGATATGCATAAAGGGTATAAAAAAAGCACTTGCTGTAGTGCTTCATGTGCCAAGAGTGCGTCCTTTTAACGTTTACAGATTCGCCTTGTTACACCCCCCTAGCTGTCAATCAGATAATCTGTCCTGTTACTTCCTGGTTGTTCAGCTCGGTGAAGCTAAACTCAAGAGGCAACAACTGCCTAGAGCACCTGTCTTGAAAAGACTTCTCACTGAGCTGAATTGGGAAGTCTGTGATTGGATGGCCACATAAAGTCTGGGAGGGGTTGTAAGGGGAGGGCATGCAAAGGCAGGAGAATAGACTCTTTTGGACTATCTATATTTCAAACTATTTTTGGTTTTTTATCTTATATGTATTCTCTATGTAGTGTCTTGTATATATGCTTGTATAGTTTATAATCAGGTTTATTCACCTGTGGTGTCGCCTCCCCCTCCACCTTTTTAGTCTATCTAGCCTGTCTAAACCTTGCCAATAAGAGAAGGCAAAATGCCACCAACATAAACTCACTTTAAATACATTTCGTCATCATACCATCACCCACAGCATTGTCAGCTGTTGTAAGATGTAAACCAAATCACGACATAAGCCAAAATAGCCTACTTGCTATAAGAACTCTCCCAGACTTGAACATTTACTTTCCCCCTTAGTGGTTATGGCTGAAATATTCCTCACTAGTGATGTCCCGAACGGTTCGCCGAATGGTTCGCGAACGGTTCGCGAACGGTTCGCCACGAACGGTTCGCCACGAACGGTTCGCCACGGACTGATTATTGAGTAAACTTTGACCCTGTACCTCAGAGTCATCAGACACATTCCAGCCAATCAGCAGCAGACCCTCCCTCCCATACCCTCCCACCTCCTGGACAGCTCACTAAGAATGCAGCTTCACAATGAATGTAAAATGGATGCTGTCCAGGAGGTGGGAGGGTCTGGGAGGGAGGGTCTGCTCCTGATTGTCTGGAATGTGTCTGCTGACTGTGAGGTACAGGGTCAAAGTTTACTCAATGATGAGTCCGTGGCGAACCGTTCGTGGCGAACTGTTCGCGAACCGTTCGGCGAACCGTTCGGGACATCACTATTCCTCACTACAGCTTGAGTGAGACAATACAGACCCACCTATTACAACACATTATACAAGTGAAATTTGGAACTTTTTCTATCCGTTAAATGTTTATTTTCATAATTATATATTTTTCATTTATTTTTATTTAGAAAGAGTGAAGGGTACCAATAAAAGTCACAGTAACATAGCATTATACAGTATTCCACGAAAATTGCAATACATAAAAAACAACAATAAGAAAGTCATAAAAAAAGACCAGCAAGAAATACAGTGGACATCACTAAGACGAGTTTTGCTAAATATTTGTTCACAATAAAGGAGTAAATACAAAAAATATAATGGAACATATCAAGTTATTTATTCATTAGACAGGACTAGACACAACATATGACCAAAGAAACGCATAAAGAAAAGTAGAGAAAAAATGGGAGAGATAAAAAGGGGGGAGTGGGCAAGAAAGGCCAGAGGCCGCAGTGTGGAGCATAAATTAGTCTCTCAATCTCTATCCTTCTCTCAGCTTTCAAGCTTCCTGTTTAAAAGTAGAAAATGCTAAAGTGAGTCCACCATAATTAAATCCAAAACTATTCCAGTTAATCAGCAACTCTACAGCCAAAGAATTGGGGAGTGCCTAAGGGTCAAAGCTCTGTCCGTATATCATAATCCATCAATAATAATGAACAGAGTGGGGAGAGAATCAGCCACCTTGTCAACTCACCGGATGGGAGTCCAAACATGTCCTCCAAAATGACCAAACCATATCGTGAGAGACATGGCGGCCTAATACTGTCACCATAAGTTCCTCCATTTTATGTATATTTTTATAATTATTTAAAATACATAACCATTTTTGATTAGGCCCTGGAAACATGAAATGTGTCCAATGCCCGAATCTTGAATTTTCCTTACACTTTTTTAAAGAAACACTATAGTGTTAGGAATACAAATTTGTATTCCTAACGCTATAGTGCCCTAGCCACCATTTAGATCAGGGGTTCCCAACCCAGTCCTCAAGTACCAGTCCAGGATTTAGGGATGTTGTGTCTAAAGTGTTTTTTTGTTTTTTTCCCAAAACACCTTAGACACAATTGAGTAATCCTTCAATCCTGGACTGTTAGGGGGAACTTGAGGACTGGGTTGGGAACCACTGATTTAGATGACTGGACCAGCACTGAGAGAGTTAGAAAGGGTGATTTACACACATTTTCCCTTGCTACAGTTTCATCCAGTTTCATTGGAAGGATAGTTCATACACATTGTAAAATTCTGCACTGCACCAATTACATGGTCTCCTGAGACTATCTGACTAAAATAGCAGAGGTAGGCTAACTAAGCAATGTTCACATTTGTCGTTTCTGCAGAATGGATATGTTTTACAATGCTGGGGTTAAAAGGAGGGGGCACATGGCACCAGGACCATTTCATTGAGATGAAGTGGTCTGAGTGAATACAGTGTTCCATTAAAGTCCATTATCAGTGTTGTTTTCATTTATATAAAGACGTGAACATTTAACTATTAACAGAAGAGTCCATGCAAATCTACACATTACAACAGATTCTAAAAGTGACATTTGGAACATCCAACAGACTTTTAATATTCATTTTCAGTGTAGAACAGCATTTTGACAATTCTTTTAACAAATATGTTCTGCTTTAATTGAAATTTTAAGTGTGTGATTTTACATGGTGCAAAAAACATTATCATTTTAAAAAGAGGCTTGTGAAAATGCAGCGTTTCGAATGGACTAATCTTGAATTTTCTTTTACCTTACGCCTTCGTACACGGTCTATTATGGATATTCTGAAAGCTGTTCTTTATTTATATAAACATGACATTTCCAACCCATTCAGTATCCAATATGAAATATTAATTCAAGATTTCTATCTGGACGAGTTCTTTAGGAATTCTCAAATTATTCTCGTCATAATAACATGGTTTCATGCCATGCTTATGACGACAATGAATAGATCAGTATATCCTGCAGAGTCTCATTTAAAGCCTTGATAATTTTTCTTCGATAGGAGTTCCATGCCTGTTAAATCACTGTAACCACAATGTGAGCATTTTTTCCCCCTGTAAGAATTGAGAAGACAATGTCGGATGCAAATAAATAATCATTTGCGTCATGAGGAGTTTTTGCTAGTTCACAAAAGGTGAACTGTTTTTGTGTTTTGCTTGGAGTAATTCCTTTATGATTAGTCATGCCAATGGATTCATCATGGATTTTTTGGCTGTTTGTTGGCTGTTGGATATTTATCTGTTAGATGATTTGTAGATTTGGTATAGCTCAGGGGCAGACAAAATATATATATCCAGATGTAGAAGAATTACATCTGTTTTGATGCTTTGCCAACCTTTACATTGCGGATCTACCTTTCATTTACCTCTAGCATGCCGTGGACCCTCCAGGCTTGTGGTGGTCAGTTACTAAAAGGCCTGGCTAGCAGAGTAGGACTTGACATTTTAATCCCTGGTTAATATGTTATAACATTAAAAATAACTGATTGGATGTATCTCCAACAGAGCCAGCAAAGGAAATACAGGGAATAATTGGGATGGTTTGGTTAGAAGGAAAACAGGATTGCATTGCAAAAGTTAAAGTAAATGATACGTAATGAATATGTTGGAGATAACATGACCACAAATTTGTGTGTGAAGATTGTTAAAGTATTAATATGTTACTGATTATCAGCAATGGATTCAATATAAATTCCCTGTTACTGATACATGCTGTGTGTGCTAGTGATGGGTGCGGTATATAATAAGGAGCTTATATAATATTTTGATGCCATATGTAGGTGATAAAGGTCATATTGCATATGAGTCATGAGCACAAGGGATAGTCACAGAATCTGCCTCATACATTCTGAGCTGACCCGTCCACTCTGCCTTTCAAATTCTGTTCTCACACTTTTCTTTTTTTAACAGATCTTTATTCCTTTGAATCTATTTGTTCAAGTTTCTATGGAATCCTCATGCAGTCTGCCATCTACAGGACACGCTGGTAAAGTCAGTCAAACACAGAAACATTTTTATTAAACTTATTTTTTGCCATTCAAAAATTTATGTAAACCTCCCAAACAGATGTGTAATCTCCAGCCTCATGATGTGAAGATAACTAAATATTAACATAAGCAAACCTACTAAACCCTAGTTCTAAAGAAAAGAAAAACTGCCTGCATTGATGTAACCTAAACAAAGACGGAATTGTGATTTTTACACATTCGGGGTGTTCGACGTAGTGCCCCAGGTAAATTAATAAACAATAATTTCCAGTTCTGTGTGCTCGTGAACTTAAGTTATATGTATATTCAAGTGAGCCTCCATTTCAACTGTTTTCTCACTGATTTAAAAAAAAAAAAACATTCTGTCATGCTCATTTTTAGATCTTCCTCAAGATTCCATGACTTGTATCCATTTTCACTGCACTTAGCTCTCACTGTGTAATTACTTAGAGTTATAACGTATTAGTATTCCAGTTTGTTTTTCATTGTCTTTAGATTAAAATTTCAACACTACACGAGGGTGGACAGCGTACACGAGGGTGGTCTTCTTATAAACTGTGTATTGCAACCACAAGGTTCTGGAGAAAATTAGAAATATAATCTCTTTTAGAATATATATAATAAAAAAAAATCTAATTGCTCTCTGTATGTAACTTGGTTCAATAAGTATATTTTTAAGATCAAACTCAAATCTTCTTCAGATCGAAGGAATGTAGGGACAAAAGGTAATCCTTTGAACAGAATATTTGGTTTTTATTTTTGTCAATATCAGTAAAGATGAATTTCATGACACTGACAGCCAAGTCTTACTTCTCTCGAGACTTGGCTGTCAAAGTGTTCTGATTGGATGGTTTAGTCCACTAATCAGTGCACTCTGGCTGATATTACATAGTGTGGGAAATTTTCCTGTGCAATGTGATAAATTATAATGGTTTCCCATGCAATCAGAGCTCAGTCAGGGGCAAGTCTTTGTGGGATTTCATTTTTTCTTTTTCTTTCGGGATTTGTGGATTTTCGTTTGGCCTTTTTTGGACCTAAAAAAAAAGAAGTAAAAGAAAGAATACTTCTGATGATGTTTGTTTAAAAGGATACTAGCTTTTTTTGTCTTATAAGGCCCTTTATTTTTAATGGGGGTTGCTATGGATTGGGAAATCTTAGTATCACTGGGGAGGGGACGGGGGTGGACATGCCACTGTGTGGGAGTGGACAATTGTGTATCCCCCTGATGTTTAATTAATTAGAGCATGTTCAGGTGAGTGCAGCCAGCCCCTTGTTTTCCCATATATATATTTAGGAGTCTAGCCAGCTCCTTGGTACATTGACGTTGTGGCAGGCTTATGCAATGTATGATCATATAATGTAACTAAACCCCAATTATTTTTGCCTAGATTAGGTGTCTTTTTAAAAAAAAAAAAAAAATCTTTCAACATTGAAGTTGCTGTTTAGTGGATAGGTGAGTGCACTGGATCTTGTGTATTAATTAATTAGAGCCACCACCTGCAAGTCATAGTTGGGGTTTAGAGGGGACACTAGGTTCCCCCTTTGAATATTATAGTTAGGACTCTTACCTGCCTTCAATGTGTGGGGGCCAGGAGGGCAAATTGTCCTCCTACTTTTAAATATTATAGATAAAGCCCCAATCTGCTAACCATGCACAAAGGTAGGATTTGGGCCCTTTTCTAGGGCATCAATGGTGGACTCGGCTCGACTGAATTCTGATCATATTTGACTTTGCTAAATATGAGAATTGCCATTGCTGTCAGAGTTTAGTATTTTTTTTTTAATCAATGACCCCATGTCTGTTTGGTGTTGACAAAGTCTCTACATGTTGTGTCTCATAGTCTGCAGTTGTAATCTTTTAAATTTTAAATTCCTGACCGAGTTATCATCATCATCAAACCTCATCTCATAGGTATTTTTTCTTCCAGTAATAATCTGATAAAAAAAAAACCTGTGTGTTATTCAATTGCTATTTGAGATCCACGGCTTTATTCCTTAATATTTTGCAGTGTTCTATAAATATGTCATGTACTAGAAGTTAAAGAAAGATCCTAATCTGTAGAAATACAAAATTGCAAACACACAGGCATCAAGGGGATTTGGGACGATGGCTTCTAATTTCTTTTACCTCTTTTTTAGTTAATGTCAACCGCCTCCAGTGGACTCACCTAACCCAAAGCCAAACAAGTCAAAAAAATAAGAGCATTCAAAAAATAGATTTCAGCCACCGCAAAATCTGAAAAGCACTAAACATATTTCATGTCCCAACATGCCCCTATGATTAGGACTAAGTGCCGCAGGGGTATGAAAAGGGTTAAGTGATATTTCAACTTACTATCTTTTTTCCTGGGAGTCATTTGATTAAGGTACTTAATTTTATGTTTCAACTGGGGCTCTCTAAGAAGGAGATTCACCAAATGAAGTTGTCCCAAATGTGTTAAACAAATTGTCTTCTTTATTTAAAAGTAAACCAAAAAAAAAAAAAAACCATGAACCACCGTGTTCGCAATGCTTAGATAAAAAAGCGTGTTAGTAATAGTCCCCCGAATGTAGAGACTTTTTTTCTAATACCATTTTTTATTTACTTTAGAAATAACCAAGGTAAGAGGCAAATAGCGGCCACAACAACAAGTAAAAGAACAAAATAAATGAAAATAAAAGTAGTTGATTTGTGCCAAGCCACAACTGATCTAAACTCGGTTTAACTATTTCAGTGGAGGGAAGTCAGGGCACTCCTGGCACCTTAACCACTACATCATGCTGTTATGGTAATGGTGCATGGAGTGTTGCTTTCATAACCACAGATACAAGATCCGTTTCAGTTATATTAACCCCTTAACGCCGTTACGGCGTTCTATGCCGTCGCGGTTTTAAAGGGCTTTAAAGCCGTTGCGGCGGCATAGAACGCCGTAACGACTTAAGCCCAGGGGAGGTAATATTTACTTACCTCCGCCGCGATCCTCTTCGGAAATGCTGCCTGACAGCCCAGACAGCCCTCCCCCGGCGAATGAGGCCCCCGGGGGCCATGTGATCGCTCTCAAAGAGCGATCACATGGCCCCCTATAGCTGGATATGGATCTGCCAGCAGGGGGACTGTCTAAAATATCAGACAGTCCCCCTGCTGGTGAGAATTGTAAAAAAAAAAAATTGAACAGGTTATAAAATAAATTAAATGTATTTATATATATATATAATATATGTATATATATATTATATATATCATATATATACATATTATATATATGTAACGTCATACAAAGTGTATTTTAATACTAATATTAGTATATATATTAATATTAAAATAGACTTAGAATGACGTTACATATATATAATTTGTATATATATTATATATATAATAGATATATACACATATATTATATATATATATATACATATATATATACGTATAATTACAATAATAAATAAATAAAATAATAAAATAAATAAATAAAATATTGAAACAAAATTTTATATAAATTATATATTCATATGTAATTTCTTTCTAACTGTATTTTGTTATTAATATATATATATTCGTAACAAAATACACTTAGAATGACATTCTATATATATCTATCTATATATAAAATACAAATAACCGCAAATATATATATATAGATAAATACATATAATTACATACAAGTTTACATTAGTATACACGTAAAATTTAAATACCTATAAATGCATATATATTAAAATTCTACGTGTATATTTAAGTAATCTTTTAACGTAATTATGTGATTTGATTAATTTAAATTTGATTGACATGCGTGACAACACAGGGAGAAAGTGCAGAGAATTTAATTCGCAAGCACTATATTTGACCATGTAACTCTCCAAGACACCATAAAACCTGTACATAGGGGGTACTGTTTTACTCGGGAGACTTGCTGAACTCAAATATTAGTGTTTCAAACTGGTAAATTGTATTACAACGATG